TGAAGAGTAACCTGTTCCTGGCTCTCCTGGCTTTGAAACCCAGATGAAGATTGGCAAATTAGAGCATGAAAGGCAGTGGAGACTACCGTGAAACCGCAGACAAAAATATGACCAGTCTCCGAACCTGTGACTTCATGGGGAGGACTCAGGTGCCAGTTCTTGGTCCTTTGGGGTTTCAGACTGTGTACAAGCCTATACTACACAATGACCGGTAAATACCAAAATAAAGGAAAAAGTATATTTAAAGCAGGTGCTTCTACACATATGTGGTTCCTGAGTTAATTAAGCAATTAAAATCCCATCATGCTTAGGGTCATGTATAAAAATGACCAGTTGCCCATTATTTTGGCTACCATGGCTAGAAGAAGAGATCTCAGTGACTTTGAAATAGGGGTCTCAAAGGAGCACAGGGGGTTTAAAGTGTGTGTGTGTGTGTGTGTGTGTGTGTGTGTGTGTGTGTGTGTGTGTGTGTGTGTGTCTCAGTCACCAGATCTCAACCCAACTGAACACTTAAGGTCGATTCTGGAGCGGTGCCTGAGACAGCGTTTTCCACCACCATCAACAAAACACCAAATTATGGAATTTCTCATGGAAGAATGGTGTCGGATCCCTCCAATAGAGTTCCAAACACTTGTAGAATCTATGCTAAGGTGCATTGACGCTGTTCTGGCAGAAATACGAAACGCTCATTTTCGTAACGTTTTCAGTTGCGTGCCCAGTTTTTGCAGTACGACACAACAGTAAAAACACCATATAACAGTATGCCCACAGACGTGTTAGTTCAACCAGCTTGTCATGAGGCCATTTGACGCACCATCAAGGCACTTCTCGGTAGTGTGTGTCAGATGGGTCACGGTTCATCTGTGAGGGACTTAAGGGTTACATTTCCAGGGATGACATTGAATAAAATGTTGGGAGGTATGGGTCAAAGTGACTAGACTCAATCTGTGACAGACCCTCTCCTTTCCATAGGTCCTAGCAGCACGTTCTAATCTACACAAGCATGCGTTTGAAGTTGCCCAATGAATACCATCAGTCCTGCTGGTGAGTGTGATTCTATATCCAGGTTACTTGGCCGCCTACTCCAAGGTTGCGTCCCAAACAGAGCCCATAGGGCTGTGGTCAAAAGTAGTGCACTGCATAGGGAATAGGGTGTCATTTGGGAATGCGGATCACTTTAGCAGTAGTACATCGATATAGGTCTGTCAGTCCCTGTTGCATGGACCCGTATGTTTGTTTGCTTGTCTGCTTTGTGATGATGTCCTTTCTCCCCTATGGGACACATTGTCCATTCTTTATTGGTATCAATAAAGAATGGACAATACCTCCACATTTCCTGGTCTATGCTTTGCTGTTCACCTTTGTACACACTTTGGAGGCTAAAGGTGTCCGCATGCTTCCCATCTGGAACAGTTTGTGCATATATTATGTTAGCAGTATATTTTTAAAAAATTTTATCTCCACACCATTTACAAACATACACAGGGTTTTATGGCTATTCGTGCACACAAATGTTTTTCTTGAGGCAAGCCTAAATTCGAAGTCGAAGTCTACACACTTCGTCTGTGATTGGTCAATTGTGGGGATTCTTCAATTAAGTGTTTGTTGTCATTCAACGATAGATGACTTGTTTCATTTTTTAAAATTCACTTGAGAAATAATGCACCAAACATCCTAGTTAGATGTAACATTGCGCGAACTAAGATCTCCTCGGCAAAAACGTCAAAATTAATGACAGATGTATTGAGTTATCGTAGATTAGTTTTGACTATTTTGAGGAAGTGTATTCTGGCTACGGCGTCTCAATATGGACAAACAGTACTATTGCCACTTTTTTCTCGTTTTTTCAAACGAAGGTATTTTCAAGTGAAGGTCGAGGGTATGCGAGCACACTCGTTCGGTTCATTTACGTTGATAAATCCTTAATATGCATTTCCCTTTTTCAAAAATGGCTCCCAACCTGAAATGTCCTTTGGTATACAAAGGTGAGTTAAGGCTTTGGTTCGAGCATGCTGGCGCCTAGCTTAACTCAGACCCTGTTTCCACAATAGCAATACAGCATTTGGTCCTCTTTCTGATAGACCTGTGATTGAGTTTAGAAATTTAATTGAGCTATAATCATTACCAGCTTGAATACTGTTGTCTCAATTGCTGTTTCACTGTAACCTCAGGTCCTGTCATACATTGATCTGTTTACAGAAAAGATATCAACCTGAAGTACAAATACAATAGCAGAACATAAGTAGGCTACTACACAGAGCACCATGAGAATAGTAGTTTCCCTACCGCCTTTTCTTAGCACGCCTTTTCTTAGCACCTCCAAGGCATCAACCTGCACATGTGATGCTCATCCAGCTCAAATGATGCTATGGAGAGTAGGCTAGGCCTGATTGAAATGGCCGCATCCAATAAATCTCTCGCTGGACAACTGATAGACACTCTTGAAAAGTATTTACACGGAGGTCTGTGAAAGATCTCCTGTGAAGCTGTAGCCAATATCTGTATGAAAAAGAGGACGACCCATGAGCGTGTTCCACTAGCAGCACTGTTTTGCTATCCAATATAAGTGGAATCTCTTGGTGTGTCAATCATTGAACCAATGTCACAAGCGCGCGAGTTCCCCAGTTACCGCGTTGCTATATAAGCGGTGCTCGGGGTGGTAGTTAGGCGCAACAGGGAGGGTTCTGCCGAGTTAAGTGTCCCATCCCATCGGCTCTCTCTAGTCTCGCCGCCCCTATAGATGATAAAGCTCTCCAGCGGAGGATCCCACAAAGTCCATAAAACACTAATACCTTTATGTGTTTATTGCGCGTGACGGTTAATTAAGACATCATAGCTAGCCCCCCTCCACGCATAGCGGGTTAAACTAATTACCATATCCATTACCCTGAGAAAGTGCCGGGTGCCCTCAATAGGACTGTCTTTTTACACAACTTTGCATGCAAATTAGGTGTTTATTGATAGTTTTATTTAGGCTAATATAAGGCCTACTGATGTATATAGCCTAATTACGCGAAGTGCGAAGTTAAATTTCTGATGTCATAGGTAGGCTATTGTTTATTTCATTATTTGTTAGGACATCCGTTGACAGAAATAAAAGAACAGATAACCTACAGCAGGTAGACAGGGATACAAATCTATTTTATATTTGCATTTGAGTAGGCTATTTTAGTGCATAGCCTACAAGCCTACAGCCAACATTGTGTATAATGACTTTTATCCAGTCTTATAGCAATTTTAAAAGAAGTTTGAAAAGTAACAAATGTGACGCATTTCAATTTGGCGATTCGGTTAAAAAGGACAGGGGCGTGTTGCCAATTTCTTCCTGTAATGTTATAATGTGATTGCCGTGCCTAACCTATAGACGATCTTCAAGACAAATAAATACGTCAAGGAAAATAAATAAGCATCCCCTATTGCCCAGTGTTGACGACTTTTCTTCCGACATCGCATGGCACGCATTATATTTATCCAAGGCAAGCCGCTTGCGGACTGGGTCAGTTTAAGGATTTGTTCCACAGACACAGAGAGGGACCAAAATACTTCAACCGCAACGGGGCATTCCAGCGTTAAGGTGAGGGCTTCCCTTCAGGATGCTTAACTTGACTGAAAATATACAGTAGAGCAGGGGTTCTGACAGGGCTGCGGAGGGAGGGAGAGAGGGGAGAGAAAGAAAGAGTGATGGTTGCTTTGATCTTTAGGGGGCCCTTGTAGATAAAAAAAGTGTCCGCGTCCCCTCTCGCAGCTAAATACAACATGCTCAGAGTTGCACTAAAACCAGGCCAACATATTGAAATTGTCGTTCATTTGGGAATAAAGGCTCGCGCACACCTACAAGGTAATGTTGAATTATTTTGAAATCTAATCGAAATAAGCATTTATAAACAACACATGTAAAAGCTGAAGAAGTTAACGATAGATAGTTTGAGCAAGGATATTTAATCGTCAAAATGAAATCATGCCACACATTCTTAGAACAATAGAATAGCCTTTTCTAAAATTATATCATGACATTACAGTTATTATAGCTAAATAGGAGCAATTGAAGTGATACAAACGTCCTCTGCTTTCAATTGATAGCGAAGAAGGCTATAGCATAAGAAGTCGTTTAGGAGTAAACTGCGACTAGCGTGAGACTTTGTGTCCCTTCATCATTCACATCAATAGCAACTCATATAGCTTCTGCGCTAGCCTACTTTACGCACTGCATGCGCTCTAGGGGTGTCCGCGCGCTCCACAATACATCAGAGGAAGGCTTTCAACTCGCAACATGAAACACCTGTGGGCACCATTTCAGTATATTAAAAATGAATTAAGAGGAAGTCGGTATATAGCAATCTGTAAAAGATCTCCACCACAGTAATAACCTTTGAGGAAATTAAAGAATGCGTGAAGTTAGTATTGCTTTCAGAGAAAAAGTATGTGAGATCAAAGACTGTAACCATGCATTAATTCATAATACATGTACAGGGCTATTCAACAAGAGACATAGTAAAAACGAATGATTATTATAATAATCATAACAATAATCATGATCATAGTCATAATAATTATAGACTAATAATTTCGATTTAATTTAAATCAAAGTGTAAAACATTGTTACACCTATGTCTAACATAATAGTTTGCTACTGGGTTGTTAATCTCCGGCCAGTTTCGCATGATTTAGATTTTGTGTTGTGAATTTTTCCCCTCTTGAGTTTTAGGCTAGTGTGTAACAACGGGCTTATTCTTACTCTATAAAAGTGTGTGGAATGGGAAGTAGGCATTTCAAAGTCAATAAAAAAAACACCACATCAAATGAAACATCGCCGATCAAAAGAGCCAAAGCACGGACATTTTTTACCCCCTCAATAAATTAAAAGCGGGGAAGTCTGCTACGCTTGATCATGCCCAGCCCAGAGTCCTGCCCTCCTCTCTGATTGGCTGACGAGTGAGAGAAGGGGGGAAAGTTTGAATAAAATTCCAGAGCATGTTATGAGTATTGTCATTTAACTCAAACCCTAAACTTGGTTCAACAGCAGTGACTGTGCAGTGGTGGCTTTGAGAACAGAACAGTTTTACGACTTCGATTAAGATAATCTAGGAATCTAGTGCTTCTATTTGAGGCATTTTTCACATCGACCCATAGAAGCCACTGAATTGTTTTTAATACATGCATTTTGTTACTGAACATCATTGATCTGAAAGGAGATTTTAAAAAATATTTTCCATGATCATCTGATTCGAAACAGTTAGCCTAGTTCGGAGGATAGCAGTGCAACAGTTCGAACCGTGCGTAATTCTCTGCATCTTACTCCATTCCAATCTCCAAACAGCAAGAAATCTTCGTGAGGAAAACCTTAAACTCGGAAACCAAAGGAAGACCTAAACTGCAGGTGGCTTACGGAAAAGATGACGGCAATGAGATTGATTTCATCGCTTTTGCTGCTGGTGTTTTTGCAGTACGGAGTTTTTGCCGCAAGAAGATTCCGAGGTGGTCGCAACCCGCAACCACGGCGGGCACCGCCTTCTCCCACATACCGGGACCGGGGTGACACCACGGAGAGTTTCCCTTTGGATTTCACCGCTGTCGAAGAGAACATGGACAACTTCATGACGCAGGTGAAGAACCTGGCGCAGTCCCTCTACCCGTGTTCGGCGCAGAAGCTCGACTATGATATGAAGCTGCACTTTTTGGAGAATACTTCAGTCACGTGCAACGATGGAACGCCAGCGGGGTATTGTATTCTATTCTCACAGGATGCGTGACTTTTTTTCTTTCATACAGTCGAGGTTCCCAGAAATATAGCATGTTGAAAGCACACCCATTGGATTTTGCTTATCCTTAAAGTTTAAATATCGATTTGTTTGTGATTGAGATAGGCCTACTTTAGATTAGAAGATCACAAAAAGGATTTAAAAAAAACGATTTAAATTGTTAATTTAAAAAAAGTGTGTTATACAGATGTCCAAGACAGCTGCTGTGTGTAATGACAGGTATAAAGCGTAATGACAGCTATAGAGCTTAATGACAGCTATAGAGCTTAATGACAGCTATAGAGCGAATATTTGCGGACTGGCACGTGCGTAATGCGCATAGAGCTTGATTTCTGTGAGCATCTTAATCTCATGATGCAGGAGTGACCGAAATTGATCTATTTTTCAAATTTGGAATCTCTCTCTAAGCAATGCAAATTGGATTGGTCCATTATGTGGCCCTCTGTAGCTCAATTGGTAGAGCATGGCGATTGTAACGCCAGGGTAGTGGGTTCGATCCCCGGGACCACCCATACGTAAAAATGTATGCACACACGACTGTAAATCGCTTTGGATAAAAGTGTCTGCTAAATGGCTTATTATTTTTAGGTGTGCGTGACGCATCAAAATGGGTATAGAGTTTTTTATGTACATTGTATTTTTTAAATGCAGATAATATTGGAAAACATACCTGTTAATATAAATTAAATCGCAATTTTAAGGGAAAAAATATTTTATTGATCTTTATATTGTTTTTATGGTCATCCAAACCAATGTCAAAATTACATATACAATTTCCCATGAAGGAATATAGGCTAATATTTATAAACTGTTATTCACCAATAATATGGTTGTGAGATTGACACCCATTTTCTGCATAGATAAGCACAGCCATTGTGTCGCTCATTAGCCTCAGGATGGTAGCATTTCTAAAATATAATAAAATATATATATATATTCTCCCTCTCGCTCCAAAGACATTAAGTAGTCTGTCATTAAGCGAAAATCCATTTGGCACTGGAAAAGCCTTCATGTTTTTTTTCCATTCATGAGGGATAAGCAGGCAGACTAAAAGCATTTGTATATTTAACTGTGTCTGTTATTACAACAAAGACAACCAGAGGGCATATACATGGTTAAGCCAAATGCTGAACTCAATGGCACTACTCAACAGGTTGCATTGGGTTAGAGCCTCCACATCTTAGCAAAGAAGGGAACTGCTTTAATTTTCTTGTATAGTATATGACAGATACAGTGTTATTAGTTAATATAGTGTAGTATACATCTAGTCATTGGTTAATGTGGTATAGTGTAGTATACATCTAGTCATTGAAAGGCTAATACATACAGTATCTATTGAATACTGTATATCTGTTTGATTTTACTCTCGGTGTGCCATACCCTACTTTCTAATCCCTGTACTCTCGATGTTCCATACCCTACATTCTAATCCCCGTACTCTCGATGTTCCATACCCTACTTTCTAATCCCTGTACTCTCAATGTTCCATACCCTACATTCTAATCCCTGTACTCTCGATGTTCCATACCCTACATTCTAATCCCTGTCACCTATATCTGTTTTATAGGGAGCATGCCTGTAGATGCTCTATTGGGAGGTTAATGCTATTCTAACCCACTGCAATGATGAGGGATCCATTTAATAAGGTCAGAGTGTAATACACTGCAATGGAGCACTAGCATGATGCAAGTCTGCATGTCCAGTACAGTATGTCTAGCAATATCAGATCATTGTGGTTATACCCAACAGACTACAAAAATACACAACAAAACACATGAAATGTGTTATGATTTAGACATATCGCTGGGCAGTAGGCTACAGTACAGTGTCAATACACAGGCCTGTATTGTCAGTGTGTGACTGGATGGATGATGTAGATGTCTCTCTCTGGATTTAACATCCTGTATAAATCCAGCGTTATAATTAAACCTCGGTGTCTCACATCCTCCATCCCAAATGGCACCATATTCCATATATGTTCCCTATTCCCTAGGGGCCCTGGTCAAAAGTAGTGCACCATATAGGGAATAGGGTGCCATTTGGGACGGGCACATGGAGAGTGGCCCATCCAGCTCGTAAAGCTCTTTAGGATTGCAGTGTGAGTGAGGACACAGAGGCTTTTAGACCTGGCCAGCAGGCCAGAGGTTGGCAGATGTCATCTCTGTAATAGTCACCTTTGTGTCTATTAATAACCGGATTCTAACACTAATTCCTCCCAGCCAGTTCCTGTCCTTCCCTGGTTCACCCTGTCCCTCCCTGGTTCACCCTGTCCCTCCCTGGTTCACCCTGTCCCTCCCTGGTTCACTCTGTCCCTCCCTGGTTCACCCTGCCCCTCCCTGGTTCACTCTGTCCCTCCCTGGTTCACCCTGTCCCTCCCTGGTTCACCCTGTCCCTCCCTGGTTCACCCTGCCCCTCCCTGGTTCACCCTGCCCCTCCCTGGTTCACCCTCCCCCTCCCTGGTTCACCCTGCCCCTCCCTGGTTCACCCTGCCCCTCCCTGGTTCACCCTGCCCCTCCCTGGTTCACCCTGCCCCTCCCTGGTTCACCCTCCCCCTTCCTGGTTCAATCTGCCCCTTGTTGGTTCACTCTGTCCCTCCCTGGTTCACTCTGTCCCTCCCTGGTTCCCTCTGTCCCTCACTGGTTCACCCTGTCCCTCCCTGGTTCACTCTGCCCCCCCCCCCCCTGGTTCACTCTGTCCCTCCCTGGTTCCCTCTGTCCCTCACTGGTTCACCCTGTCCCTCCCTGGTTCCCTCTGTCCCTCCCTGGTTCACTCTGCCCCTCCCTGGTTCACTCTGCCCCTCCATGGTTCACTATTTCCCTCCCTAGTCACTCTGCCCATCCCTGGTAATTGTTATTGTTGTTGTTGTTATTGTTATTGTTGTTAATAATAGTGATAGTGTTAGTGATAGTAATAGTGTTAGTGATAGTGTTAGTGTTAGTGGTAGTGATAGTGGTAGTGATAGTGGTAGTGATAGTCGTAGTGACAGTGATAGTGTTCGTGATAGTGTTCGTAATAATGTTTGTGATTTTGAAATTGATAGTGATAGAGAAGGCCAGGCTTCTTCAGGCAGGGAGCAATAGAGCTCTGCATGGGTAGGGAAACACTTTTCCAAACCCAAATACACTTACAGTGATGCTCCAGAGGTTTTGAATAATTTCAGCCAGTAGTTTTGAAAGTAGTGCTCAACAGGTCCCTGAAAATGGTGCACAATTGTGTACTACATCATCCATTTCGTATGACATGTTACGTCCTGCCAGAAAAATATAAAAAATATAAATACATTGGAATTCGTTCGAAATGTTACGGATTTGTAGAGTAAGTGCACAAGATCCCAGACTGCATATTGAAAGAAGAGCTGTAAAACCAGGGTCCAAGTCAGGGGTATTTAGATCTTTACACTGGAGCTTCATCCTCTGCCTCTAATAAAGAAGAGCTGTAAAACCAGGGTCCAAGTCAGGGGTATTTAGAGCTTTACACTGGAGCTTCATCCTCTGCCTCTAGGAAAGAAGAGCTGTAAAACCAGGGTTCAAGTCAGGGGTATTTAGAGCTTTACACTGGAGCTTCATCCTCTGCCTCTAGGAAGGAAGTGCTGTAAAACCAGGGTCCTAGTCAGGGGTATTTAGAGCTTTACACTGGAGCTTCATCCTCTGCCTCTAGGAAAGAAGAGCTGTAAAACCAGGGTCCAAGTCAGGGGTATTTAGAGCTTTACACTGGAGCTTCATCCTCTGCCTCTAAGAAAGAAGAGCTGTAAAACCAGGGTCCAAGTCAGGGGTATTTAGAGCTTTACACTGGAGCTTCATCCTCTGCCTCTAGGAAAGAAGAGCTGTAAAACCAGGGTCCAAGTCAGGGGTATTTAGAGCTTTACACTGGAGCTTCATCCTCTGCCTCTAGGAAAGAAGAGCTGTAAAACCAGGGTCCAAGTCAGGGGTATTTAGAGCTTTACACTGGAGCTTCATCCTCTGCCTCTAGGAAAGAAGAGCTGTAAAACCAGGGTCCAAGTCAGGGGTATTTAGAGCTTTACACCGGAGCTTCATCCTCTGCCTCTAGGAAGGAAGAGCTGTAAAACCAGGGTCCAAGTCAGGGGTATTTAGAGCTTTACACTGGAGCTTCATCCTCTGCCTCTAGGAAAGAAGAGCTGTAAAACCAGGGTCCAAGTCAGGGGTATTAAGAGCTTTACACTGGAGCTTCATCCTCTGCCTCTATGAAAGAAGAGCTGTAAAACCAAGGTCCAAGTCAGGGGTATTTAGAGTTTTACACTGGATCTTCATCTTCTGCCTCTATGAAAGAAGAGCTGTAAAACCAAGGTCCAAGTCAGGGGTATTTAGAGTTTTACACTGGATCTTCATCTTCTGCCTCTAGGAAAGAAGAGCTGTAAAACCAGGGTCCTAGTCAGGGGTATTTAGAGCTTTACACTGGAGCTTCATCCTCTGCCTCTAGGAAAGAAGAGCTGTAAAACCAGGGTCCAAGTCAAGGGTATTTAGAGCTTTACACTGGAGCTTCATCCTCTGCCTCTAGGAAGGAAGAGCTGTAAAACCAGGGTCCAAGTCAGGGGTATTTAGAGCTGTACACTTGAGCTTCATCCTCTGCCTCTAGGAAGGAAGAGCCAGGTAAAACCAGGGTCCTAGTCAGGTGTATTTAGAGCTTTACCTCTGTCTCTAGCATCCACAGACAGCAAGGAGAGGACAGTTGTGGTCTGCCCCGTGCTACTGGTAACCTCCATAGATGTTACAGTGATAGTGTGGTCTGGTACCCTCCAAATGTAGCGTAAAATTAGGTATTCTAAGCTTCATCTTAGTTTATTATGTCATGAGTTGAACATATCATGAAAGATTATCCCTGAAGACGAGAGTGTGAGTGAGGGAGTGAGTCAGTGTCTCGGCAAACACTGCACGACTCAGCCTGCCCAACATCACACCACTCAGCCTGCTGAAAACAACGCCATGCCACTCAGCCTGCTCAACACCAACCACTTCAGCATGCTCAAAACACGCCACTCAGCCGCTCAACAACCATGCCCAATCAGCCTGCCTCAACACCGCACTTCAGCCTGCTCAACACCTACACACTCAGCATGACTCAACACCACTGCAATCAGCTGCTCAACACCATGCCACTTCAGCCTGCCTGCTCAACACCACACCACTCAGCCTGCTCAAACACCACACCCTCAGCCTGCTCAACACCACGCTTACTCAGCCTCCTCAACACCACACCATCAGCATGCTCAACACCACACCACTCAGCCTGCTAACACCATGCACTCAGCGTCAACACCATGCCACTAGCATGCTCAACACCACACCACTCAGCCTGCTCAACACCACGCTACTCAGCCTCCTCAACACCACACCACTCAGCCTGCTCAACACCACACCACTCAGCCTGCTCAACACCATGCCACTCAGCCTGCTCAACACCATGCCACTCAGCCTGCTCAACACCACACCACTCAGCCTGCTCAACACCACGCCACTCAGCCTGCTCAACACCATGCCACTCAGCCTGCTCAACACCACACCACTCAGCCTGCTCAACACCACCACTCAGCTGCTCAACCACACCACTCAGCTGCTCAACACCACCCACTCACCCTGCTCAACCCCCCCAAATGCCCTAAAAAGCTTTTTCCCCCTAAACCCCACCCCCACCCCCCCCCTCAGCCTCTAAAAAAACCCCCGCCCCACCCACCCCCCTGCTCCACCATCCCACTCCCCTCCAACCCACACCACTCCCCCTTAAACACCACACCACTCACCGCTCAACACCCCCACTCCCCCCTTCAACCCTGCCACTCAGCCTGCCAACCCACCCCATCACCGCAAAATACCACACCACTCAGCCTCCTCAACACCACACCACTCAGCTTCCTCAACACCACACCACTCAGCCTCCTCTGGCATTCCTCCCTGTGATGATGATGCCTGGCAGCTGCCTGAGTTTCCTGTCCGTGAAGCCATCCGTCTCAGCTGCAGCTGCATCTTTGTTGGTAAAGAGGAGCGTTCAGATACCCCTGTTCCCTCTAGCTGCCTGACACAGCTCCCTTAGAAGCTAGGCTTTAGCTCAGCAGGCTAAAACATCTGGTGCTGAAATAACAGTCTCTGAACATCGCAGAAGCAAATAGGGAATAGAATAGCATCAGGCCTGCTTGTATGGCCGACTGGGTTTGAATCCAGGCATCCTGGGTGCTACAAGTATGTGTTAGCCCGCTGAGCTAAAGCCTAGCCATCACAGAAACATTTTGAGAATCATGCCTGCTTCTAAAGGTATTTTGTAGTTTCTGCTAGTCTGATATTGTGAAACGGTAGAAATGTTGTTGGGTGACAGAAAGTTAAAGGAATACTTTGGGATTTTGGCAAGGAGGCCCTTTATCTACTTCCTCAGAGTCAGATGTACAATTGTTTATGTCTCTGTGTCCAGTATGAAGGAAGTTAAGAGGTAGTTTCGCGAGCCAAGGCTAACTAGTATTAGCGCTATGACTGGAAGTCCATGGGTATCTGCTAGCATGCTGTTGCATTAAAATGCATATTAAAATGCCTTGGAATAACTGTAGACATGGAATTGCAGTGAATTGATGATTCTGCACTTCACAGTAGTGAGACTATGAGGATCAATTATAGCATTGCCCTCTTGTGGGCAGAGGATGAACAGATCTCCTGAAGTGAATGATCCATACATCCAGATTGAAAGCTCTTCAGAGTGAGTCCTTCCATTCTAGTGAGCCAAGCTCAGCCTAACCAAGCAGTAACTAGCTGCCCACCGTAGTTGCTGGACCTGTACTGAAAAGGACAACCTGAAAAGAAAACATTGGACCCAGTCAGGTTCAGATCTGTAGAATTCAATAGGAGAACATTTACTTTTCAGCCACATTTACATTTCAGCACACTTACATTTCAGCCACATTTACATGTTAGTCAACTAGCGGACGCTCTTATGCAGAGCAACTTACAGTAAATGCATTCATCTGAAGATGAAGCTAGGTGAGACAACCGCACATCACGCTAATAATAGGGACAACTTCTCCTCAATAAAGTAGCTATCAGCAGAATCAGTGCTAGTGAGAAGAGACAGTGTGAGTGTTAGTGCAAGAAAGACAAGGGTGCTAGTTATTTTAATTGTTTTGGTTCAGACAACGATCTCTGTGTTTGATCTCTGTGTTCAGATGGTGGTACTGGTCATGCTGTATAATCCACTGTAAAATAGTGTTAAAGGCTCTGACTCTCTGTGACGCATCGAAGGGAGCATTCCTCTGGGTGGATGTGCTGAATATGGGTCCTGGGGCAACAGAGATGTGTCTGTCTGTGTGTGTGTGTGTTTGCACAGACCTCACCATGGTTTTCATCCTAGGCTGCAGCAGGCTGCAGGCAGCACGTCATCTCATCTCTGTTTTTCATTCCTGCATGGCCAGCACTGAGGGTAGTGGTGATTTTATCCAGCCTGAGATGGAGGGCCTATGTATGAGACCACTGTTAAAGAATGGTGACTTCAGCAGAGTAGTAACAGGGAATATGATGGTACTGCACTTCCTTATCACTGTTGCCAGCGACGGACTGTTATGGCACTGGTAACACCTAGGTGCTTCCCAAATGTCACTTCATTTCCTATATAGTGCACTACATTTGGTCATGGCCCATAGGGCTCTGGTCAAAAGTAGTGTACTATATAGGGTGCCATTTGCGATATACCATAGACATGCCCTTTCTCAATACTGAGGGTGGAAGACCCTGGATGAGCTCCTATCTGTTGTTTTATCACATGGTTGGAATGTGAGATGATTCATATTAAACTGTAGGGAAGCAGTCTCTCTCTCTCTCTCTCTCTCTCTCTCTCTCTCTCTCTCTCTCTCTCTCTCTCTCTCTCTCTCTCTCTCTCTCTCTCTCTCTCTCTCTCTCTCTCTCTCTCTCTCTCTCTCTCTCTCTCTCTCTCTCTGTGCGTGTGTGATGTCCACATCATGGCTCTGTGTAACCAGCACACAAACATTGTTTATGGTGACTTCAAATCTGGAGGAAGTACTTTTAGCTTTATATTCTTCCTGCTAACAGAGATAAAGATCTTCAAAGTAACAACATGTCTTGTATTCTTTGAATACATAATATGCACATAGGTTTTAATCTCTTTGGCACAGTCACTGATACCAGGAGACGGTGAAGGCACCTTGAGTGTTTCATGTGAGGCGACGTGGTTCTTGTCCATGGTTTGTGAATTTGCGTTTATAAAATAGAATGTTTCTTTCCGTTCTAGGTACTACATCAAAGAGTCCAGAGGGAGCAGACGGTGGTTGATATTCTTGGAGGGCGGCTGGTACTGCTTCAACAAAGAGAACTGTGACAGCCGATACGACACCATGAGGAGACTGATGAGCTCGTCCAAGTGGCCTCAAACCAAAACAGGTCAGAATCTCTGCCTACAGTACCTGCCTGTGTCTGTCTGGCTGGCTGTTACAGTTCACCAACCCCCCACCACTACTACTCTAAAACACAGATTAAGCCTGGTCCTGAACGGTATCCTACGAAGCAAGCTAGATCTCCTTAGAGTTTTCTAAAGCTAACCAGCTTCAGTTATTTTATTTAACATTTATTTAACAAGGAAGGGCTCATTGAGTTTTGAAATCTCTTTTTCAAGAGAGTCCTGGCCAAGATAGGCAGCACCAGGTCATTACACAATTACAGACAGACAACATGAAAAACTACAAGTAATCTAGTAAACATCCATAGAAATCACTGGAGTATAACAAAATCATAAAACAGCTATTTAAAAACATTGACAGGTCAAGGAATCAGCCTCAAAATCCTTCATCAATGATTTAAAAACACCAATCGGGACAAGTTCTTCCAGTTTAAATGTATGTTGTAAAGCGTTCCAAGACGATGGCGCAGAGTACATAAAAGCCCTTTTACCAAATTCAGTTCGGACAATTGGAACAGTTAGCAGGATAAAGTCCTGCGAACGAAGGGAGTACCCACCACATTTCTGAATAATAAAAATTCCCAGATAAAATGGTAGTAAACCCAAAATAGCTTTGTAAATAAAAGTTTACCAGTGACTGAGCCTACGAGTGACTAGAGAAGGCCAGCCAACCCTGGTATATAGAGTGCAGTGGTGCGTAAGGGTTTTGCAGTAAATCTCAATGCTCCATGATAAAGTGTGTCAATTGATCTCAAACACTGAGCGGAAGCATTCATATATAAAATATCTCCATAATCTAGTATAGGCATAAATGTATCTGATACTAGCCTCCTTCTGGCTTCAAAAGAAAAACATTCCTTATTCCTAAAATAAAATCCCAACTTCAGCTTGTAAGTTGTTGAATATGCAATTTAAAAGAGAGACTGTCATCAATTAAAATTCCAAGATATTTATATGCGGTTACAGCCTCAATCTCATTGCCCTGACAGGTAGTAATAGGTGAAAGGTTCAGAGGTCTGTTTCTTGCTTTAGAAAACACCATTAGTTTAGTTTTGTCAGCATTGAGGATAAGCTTCAATTGACACAAGGTATGTTGAACAGTATAAAAAGCAGTTTGCAAGTTCTGGAAAGCTTCATCAGCATAAAAGTGAAGTTGCGCATTTTGCACATTTTTGTCTAAATTATTTATATAAATAGTGAATTAGAGGGGACCAAGTACAGAGCCCTGGGGCACACAATTACAGACAGACAATTTAACAGACATGAGCCCATCAAATTGAGTGCACTGAGTTCTATTAGACAGATAGTTAGCAAACCATGCAACTGCATGCTCCGAAAGACCTACGCTTGACAATCTCTGCCTCAGTATAGCATGATCAACTGTATCAAAAGCCTTAGAGAGATCAATAAAAGGGAGACACAGTGCTGTTTTTTGTCAAGGGCTTCAGTGATATCATTTAAAACCTTCAAGGCTCAAGGCTGCTGTAATTGTGCTATGCTTCTTCTTGAAGCCCGATTGGTACATTGATAAAATAGAGTTAGTATATAAAAACTATTTTAGCTGTTCACTAACAAGGGTTTCAAGTATTTTTGCCAGGGGTGACAGCTTTGAGATTGGCCTATAATTATTTAAAAGAGTTGGATCTCCCCCTTTTAAAAGTGGTAGAACAAATGCTGATTTCCAGATCTTTGGAAATTCATTACATTCCAGGGTTAGATTGAACATATATGTAAGTGGTTCAGCTATGAAATCAGCTAAACCTGTGGAATGGGGCATGCTTGTTTACTATTTGGAAAAATATATAATGAAAGAACTTCAAGGCTGTTTTCACATCAGGAAAAAGCTCAATCTTGCTCCAGTCAAAATAAAACAAATCATGAAAGAAAGCCTGCTCATTAAAACTCTTAACATAAAGCGTGGGTTTGTCTTAGGAACCTTAGTATTTCTAACAGCAACAACAGCACAATGGTCACTAAAATCATTACAGAAAACACCAACCGCATAATATTTATGTGGAACATTTGTCAATAAGGCCCCGTGTAGCTCAGTTGGTAGATCATGGCGCTTGCAACGCCAGGGTTGTGGGTTCGATTCCCACGGGTGGCCAGTATGAAAAAAATAAATATGTATGCACTCACTAACTGTAAGTCGCTCTGGATAAGAGCGTCTGCTAAATGACTAAAATGTAAAATGTATATCAAATCAATCAGGGTAGATTTCTCTGGACATTTGAGATTTGGGCGGGTGGGTGAATGAATCAACTGGGTACGATTCATAGAATTACAATACATTTTAAAATCATCAGACACCGGCTTTAACCAACACCAGTTGAGATCACCAATCAAGATAATTTCACTGTAAAGAAGTTTAGACATAAGGTGCATCAGAGAAGAAAATGCATCACCGAGAGCAGAGGGGGGTCTATAACAGCCAATCACAGTTACAAATAGTTTCAGACTTTGCCACACTTACAAGGAATTTATTATTTACATATATATAGCCACACCCCCAACTTAACTCGATCAGTGCGATACACATTAGAACCATTTATACAAATATCCTAATCAAGAACAGACTTGCTGAGCCAGGTTTCAGAAAACACAATTACATCAGCATCAGTTGATTTAGCACAAATCCTAACCCCATCAATTTTAGACAAAGGCTGCGTACATTTAAATGAAAAATACCAAAACCAGATCTAGATATAAAATCAGAGGGGGTGTGGAGACATTGCATATCAGGGCCAGGGTTAGGTTGCATGCTACCTGATATCAACAGAATAAGAATAATTAGGCACCTCTGTTTAATAACCTTGCACAGCTTCTCTTTTTTAAGAGACCTACTGCAAGTGAATTCTACAAGTGTTTCCAGACAATACAAAACAGTCATTTAAAACAATTAGACTTTGGTAGTGACACAAATGCATCGGCACTTGGACGAGTGGACCGAGTGAAAAAGAGAGAGTTCCCGCAGACACAATGTCTAACGGACGGGAGAGCACATTGTCATATGTACTCACCCAGCAACAATGTTCATTTCCTCCAGAGTTCAGTAAAGTCATTGCGCAAAGCAATACCACGAAAATTGTCATTTTCTCTGAGAGATGTAAGAAATAGAGGCCAAGGAAAGGTAAGGGGAGAGAGGGACTGTGTGTATTTATGTGAATGTGTGTGCATGAGTAGATTGGGGATGGGGGTCGATTGAGAGAGCGGGTTGGGGATTGTTGAGCTGCCGCTGACAGCCAGTTGGAGAGCAAAGAGGAGCAGCTTGGACAAGACACTCCGCGGAGGGAAACAGAGAATAGAACCCAGGCCAGCCAGAGAGAGGATTACGTTGGTCAACTTCGAGTAAGGAAGTGCAAATAGTGCAAAAAAAAATGATACGAGTTGAGGGAGACTTGCGATCTTTACACCAGCAAAACTAAATAGTTTGCACTACACAACAAGAAAAGTGTAGATTTGCTCCACCGTAAATGAATGAGTTATTAGTAGGTTAAAAAGTACTAGTCACAGACAAACGACTTGACATTGTGATGTGGTGGTGTTGAAGGAGTCAGGCGCAGGAGGGTAAATCACAGAATAACAGGCTTTAATCCGCAAAATACAGGTTTACGCAGAACTGCGTCAAACACACTCCAGGGCACAAAACAGGTGCACTGGAAAATACAAGGCACACAGGAAAATACTCCCGTCAAACAAAATACACGAGCTCCACCGAGCTTCACTAACCTTCACAATAAACAATCACCCACAAGGACAAGGGGGCAGAGGGAACACTTATACACGGACTAATTAGGGGATTAGAACAAGGTGTGTGATAACGAGACAAGACAATTGTTATGATGATTGGGGCGGCAGTGGTTAGTACTCCGGTGACGATGAACGCCGAAGCCTGCCCGAACAAGGAGGGGAGGCAGCCTCGGCCGAAGTCGTGACAGTACCCCCCCCCCCCCCCCCGATGCGCAGCTGAATCGACTAGCGCCTTACAATGGGGAACTACCATGAGATCGGGAAAGTGGATAGGTAGGGTACAGTGCGCAGCAGAGGGCTCTGAACAAGTGTGGGTGTTCGATACCTGGGGTGATGCATGAGTGCCCTGCCTGCCGCCTCCCGGCCCAAAAGAACGTTGACTACGATGTGTAGTGTATTGTCCCTTCGTGCCACCAGAGTGGCACTGTCGCTGTCCCCTCTGCTCTCTAGGCCGGCGGCTCCACCTAGCTCCATCGGCTCGGGATCTGAGTCATCCGGGATGGAAACGGGCAGACTCCTAACAGGACGTCCTCTGGCTGCCAGTAGGTTGTCCAAACGAATGGCCATGTCCACCAGTTTGTTGAAGGACAACATGGTGTCTCGGCAGGCTAGCTCCCGTTGGACGTCCTCCCGCAGATGGCACTGGAAATGGTCGATCAGGGCCCGCTCGTTCCACCCGGACCCCGCTGCCAGCGTCCGAAACTCTAACGCGAAGTCCTGCGCAGTCCTCGTCCCCTGCCTCAGATGGACCAGTCGCTCACCCGCCTAAAGAGGCGAGCGAACTCCCTGTAGTCCTCCAACGCGGCTCCTCCTTCGTTCCACACCGCGTTGGCCCACTCCAGGGCTTTCCCACAGAGGCAGGAAACGAGGACGGACACCTTCTCCCGCTCCGATGGTTCCGGCCTGATGCTGGCAAAGTAAAGCTCCAATTGGAGGAGGAATCCCTGGCACAGCGCCGTCGTCCCATCAAACGCCCGTGGTCGGGATATCTGGATCCCTCCGGGTGCTGGGGTGTAGGTGGCTGGATCCGGTTGGCCAGCTGGTCTCGACAGATCGGGTTCTCTCCTCTCCAGGCATTGGACAACCTGAAGAACCCGATCCATCGCTTCCCCCAAGCTGGCCAGCATTGTGGAATGCTCCTGGACCCTTGCCACGACTCCAGGCATGCGCTCTTCTCCCTCTGACTCCATATTCAGGTGGGTGATTCTGTGATGTGGTGGTGTTGAAGGAGTCAGGAGCAGGAGGTTAAATCACAGAATAACAGGCTTTAATCCGCAAAATACAGGTTTACGCAGAACTGCGTCAAACACACTCCAGGGCACAAAACAGGTGCACTGGAAAATACAAGGCACACAGGAAAATACTCCCGTCAAACAAAATACACGAGCTCCACCGAGCTTCACTAACCTTCACAATAAACAATCACCCACAAGGACAAGGGGGCAGAGGGAACACTTATACACGGACTAATTAGGGGATTAGAACAAGGTGTGTGTGATAACGAGACAAGACAATTGCTAAGATGATTGGGACGGCAGTGGTTAGTACTCCGGTGACGACGAACGCCGAAGTCTGCCCGAACAAGGAGGGGAGGCAGCCTTGGCTGAAGTCATGACAGACATGCTGCCATCTTTACATTCCAGCTCTGTCTTCATCCGTACAACGACAGTTATTGCTCCTCCGCCTGCCGCTAACTCTAGCAGGCTTGTACCTGAGCATTCATGTCGCACATGGCTAGTCATACACCGAACTCTTCACTGAGACAATGTTGAAACATCAATCCATGCGCGAGTCAGTGCCACATTTTCATTTGTGCCAAAAACAAAATGAAAGAAAAGTTATGTTGCAAAATCAGCAGGCTGTGGTGTGAAATAGGCTTGTTTTATTACTTATCGTTAATGCCAACTTTGGTGTGCTTATCAATGCACAAGCACCTTTTTCCCCACTCCTATCGATCTTTTTTAAATTAAGTCAAACAAAAGTGTTACTGTGCTTGAAGTTTAAAATGCATTTTGTCATTACTAAATGTGTAATGTGATATATTTTAACATTAAATGTTTTTAACACAAAAAAAACATTTGATTAATAAAATATTTAATCAGTCATCTTCCTCAAATGGAGAGGATGATGACGCAATCTTTGCGAGAGGGAGGGAATTTGATTTAATCGGTCCTCAACTTGTGGCTCAGTCATTTCATTCAGTGGAGTAAAGTTAGCTGTGAGTTAGCCTGCCCTTGAGCAGGTTAGTTCTGAAGGATTTGTTGCCATAGAAATGTACCTGGCTAAAAGGTGAGCCACTTTCGTATGACCGGTTAACCCAAGTTTAACTCAGAGTTGACCAAAGTTAGCTGGCTAACTCCTCAAACCTGCTTCGTATCATACCGCTCTGGACTAAGAAGCATTCTCAATAGAGATTCTCCTTTGAAAATGCTTTTTAGTCTGGGACCAGGCCTAATCTGTGTCTGGGAAACAGTACCTTAATCTAAACCGAATGTTACAGTAATATAAGACACTTATCTATAGCAACCTACTGTATGGTAAGTGCATACACTCTTCTGTTGCTAGCGCCACGCTCCTACCAACTGAGCCCCTCCACATGTTATAGACAGAAAATGGCTTTGGGCTGTAGTGCTGTCTGTTCTGGCTCTGCACCCACACAATGAACAAAGTACAGACCAGGGCCCGTATCCACACAATGAACAATGTACAGACCAGGGCCCGTATCCACACAATGAACAAAGTACAGACCAGGGCCCGTATCCACACAATGAACAAAGTACAGACCAGGGCCCGTATCCACACAATGAACAAAGTACAGACCAGGGCCCGTATCCACACAATGAACAAAGTACAGACCAGGGCCCGTATCCACACAATGAACAAAGTACAGACCAGGGCCCGTATCCACACAATGAACAAAGTACAGACCAGGGCCCGTATCCACACAATGAACAAAGTACAGACCAGGGCCCGTATCCACACAATGAACAAAGTACAGACCAGGGCCCGTATCCACACAATGAACAAAGTACAGACCAGGGCCCGTATCCACACAATGAACAAAGTACAGACCAGGGCCCGTATCCACACAATGAACAAAGTACAGACCAGGGCCCGTATCCACACAATGAACAAAGTACAGACCAGGGCCCGTATCCACACAATGAACAAAGTACAGACCAGGGCCCGTATCCACACAATGAACAAAGTACAGACCAGGGCCCGTATCCACACAATGAACAATGTACAGACCAGGGCCCGTATCCACACAATGAACAAAGTACAGACCAGGGCCCGTATCCACACAATGAACAAAGTACAGACCAGGGCCCGTATCCACACAATGAACAAAGTACAGACCAGGGCCCGTATCCACACAATGAACAAAGTACAGACCAGGGCCCGTATCCACACAATGAACAAAGTACAGACCAGGGCCCGTATCCACACAATGAACAAAGTACAGACCAGGGCCCGTATCCACACAATGAACAAAGTACAGACCAGGGCCCGTATCCACACAATGAACAAAGTACAGACCAGGGCCCGTATCCACACAATGAACAAAGTACAGACCAGGGCCCGTATCCACACAATGAACAAAGTACAGACCAGGGCCCGTATCCACACAATGAACAAAGTACAGACCAGGGCCCGTATCCACACAATGAACAAAGTACAGACCAGGGCCCGTATCCACACAATGAACAAAGTACAGACCAGGGCCCGTATCCACACAATGAACAAAGTACAGACCAGGGCCCGTATCCACACAATGAACAAAGTACAGACCAGGGCCCGTATCCACACAATGAACAAAGTACAGACCAGGGCCCGTATCCACACAATGAACAAAGTACAGACCAGGGCCCGTATCCACACAATGAACAAAGTACAGACCAGGGCCCGTATCCACACAATGAACAAAGTACAGACCAGGGCCCGTATCCACACAATGAACAAAGTACAGACCAGGGCCCGTATCCACACAATGAACAATGTACAGACCAGGGCCCGTATCCACACAATGAACAAAGTACAGACCAGGGCCCGTATCCACACAATGAACAAAGTACAGACCAGGGCCCGTATCCACACAATGAACAAAGTACAGACCAGGGCCCGTATCCACACAATGAACAAAGTACAGACCAGGGCCCGTATCCACACAATGAACAAAGTACAGACCAGGGCCCGTATCCACACAATGAACAAAGTACAGACCAGGGCCCGTATCCACACAATGAACAAAGTACAGACCAGGGCCCGTATCCACACAATGAACAAAGTACAGACCAGGGCCCGTATCCACACAATGAACAAAGTACAGACCAGGGCCCGTATCCACACAATGAACAAAGTACAGACCAGGGCCCGTATCCACACAATGAACAAAGTACAGACCAGGGCCCATATCCACACAATGAACAAAGTACAGACCAGGGCCCGTATCCACACAATGATCAAAGTACAGACCAGGGCCCGTATCCACACAATGAACAAAGTACAGACCAGGGCCCGTATCCACACAATGAACAAAGTACAGACCAGGGCCCGTATCCACACAATGAACAAAGTACAGACAAACTGACATACAGACAAACTGACAAACAGTTGGATGTCAGTTATGAATAGCACAGGGGTATATTTATTTATGGTAATGACCAGTGTTATTGAGACAGTCATCTATGTTGTAATGACCAGTGTTATTGAGACAGTCATCTATGTTGTAATGACCAGTGTTATTGAGACAGTCATCTATATGGTAATGACCAGTGTTTTTGAGACAGTCATCTATGTTGTAATGACCAGTGTTATTGAGACAGTCATCTATATGGTAATGACCAGTGTTATTGAGACAGTCATCTATATGGTAATGACCAGTGTTATTGAGACAGTCATCTATGTTGTAATGACCAGTGTTATTGAGACAGTCATCTATATGGTAATGACCAGTGTTTTTGAGACAGTCATCTATGTTGTAATGACCAGTGTTATTGAGACAGTCATCTATATGGTAATGACCAGTGTTATTGAGACAGTCATCTATATGGTAATGACCAGTGTTTTTGAGACAGTCATCTATGTTGTAATGACCAGTGTTATTGAGACAGTCATCTATATGGTAATGACCAGTGTTATTGAGACAGTCATCTATATGGTAATGACCAGTGTTATTGAGACAGTCATCTATGTTGTAATGACCAGTGTTATTGAGACAGTCATCTATATGGTAATGACCAGTGTTATTGAGACAGTCATCTATATGGTAATGACCAGTGTTATTGAGACAGTCATAACATACTCCTGTAGCTCAGTTGGTAGAGCATGGCGCTTGCAACGCCAGGGTTGTGGGTTCGATTCCCATGGGGGGCCAGTATGAAAAATGTATGCACTCACTAACTGTAAGTCGCTCTGGATAAGAGTGTCTGCTAAATGACTAAAATGTAAAAAATTTAAAATACTACTGTAGAGAGCTATCTGCCGCCTGCTCCTGTGAGAGGGGAAGTGCCTCTCTCTCATTGTGCTGTAAGAGCCATAATTCATGCAGTGATTATGAGGAAGATGGTGATGTGTCTGGGAGTGGCATGATGGTTAATGATATATATTCTCTATTGCCGTGTCATTCCTCTCTGTAGGCACAGGGATCCTGTCTCCACTCCCAGAGGAAAACCCTCACTGGTGGAACGCCAACATGGTGTAAGTTCCAGGATTTGGTGTGTGTGTGTGTCCAGTTGATCATTATAAAGTTGTAAGAAGACCTGACATTGATGTGTTTCCTCTCCAGGTTCATCCCCTACTGCTCTAGTGATGTGTGGAGTGGTGCCTCAGCCAAGACGGACCAGAGTAAGACATCACTTTTGGCCATACTAATGTGTGTTTGCATTTTCTAATGGAGATCAATCAACCAATCACCCAACAAATCAATCACCCAATCAGCCAATCAACGAATCAATCAACCAATCAATCAACTAATCACCCAACCAATCAATCAACCAATGAACTAATCAATCAACCAATCACCCAACCAATCAATCAACAAATCAACAAATCAACCAATCAGCCAAACAATCAACCAAGCAACCAATAAACCAAGAAAACAAGCAACCAATCAGCCAACCAACCAATAAATGAACGAATGAATGAATCATTCAATCAATCAATCAATCAATTAACTTAAAATGTATTGTCCTAGAGGGAAATTGGTTATTTAATTGAATCATACATGAAAGACATCGGATAGGTAGGTATGTTGTGTGCATTGTGTTGGTCACTCGGCACTCAATGTATTGTGTTGGTGACTGACTGTCTGTCTGCGTGCCGTCTGTGTGCAGGTGGCTACGCCTTCATGGGGTCTCTGATCATTCAGGAGGTGGTGAAGGATCTGCTGGCCAAGGGGCTTGACAACGCCAAGGTTCTACTACTGGCTGGCAGCAGGTGGGTGGGGCCACATGTTAGTGTGGGTGTGTCTGTGTGTTAACATAATGTAAATATGTTTAATGAACTGTGTGTCCTATAGATTAGAATAAGTTAGTGTGTGTGTCTGTTTGTGTGTGTTCGTGCCTGTTTGTGTGTGTTTGTGTGTGTGTATAGTCTTGCCTGTGTGTGTTCGTGCCTGTGTGTGTGTTTGTGTGTGTGTATAGTCTTGCCTGTGTGTGTTCGTGCCTGTGTGTGTGTGTGTTACCTATCTGTGTGTCTCTTCTCTACCCCACAGTGCGGGGGGGACGGGGGTCCTGCTGAACGTGGACCCTGTGGCTGAGCTGCTGGAGGGGCTGGGGCACCCTGGGATCCAGGTGAGGGGTCTGGCTGACTCGGGCTGGTTCCTGGACAACAAGCAGTACCGATCTACTGACTGTCACGACACCATCAGCTGTGCCCCCACGGAGGCCATCAAGAGAGGCATCAAGTAAGAGAGCACTCTACCACTATAGCTGCAGTCTCTGGGACCATATTCACAATCTCAAATCTCAGATTAGGGGTGCTGATATAGGATCATAGTATGATCTAAAAATCGAAAAAATCTGATCCTATATCAGGGGGGACTGATCCTAGATCAGCACTCCTATTCTGAGCTGCTTTCTGAGTACGGTCCCTGGGCGGTTCAGAATGCCGTGGTTAGGGACAGAGAGTTTCTCATGGCCCAGTGGCCTGACCAGGAGAAGCTATAGGCTCTAGTTGTACTATACTGCGTCGCATCATTGTTAAATGGATTGAAAATATTGAACTCCCTAGCCTTAGGCTGCGTTTACACAGGCAGCCCAATTATTGGCAAAAGATCTGATCTGATTGGGTTGCTTGTGTAAACGCAGCCTTAGTAGCCTATTCTTCAGGTCCTGTACGAACTGACACTGTAAGATGTTGACCTCTGACCTCTTGTCACCAGGTACTGGGGCGGCGTGGTGCCAGAGAGGTGTAGACAGGTCCACCTGGGGGAGGAGTGGAACTGTTTCTTTGGCTACAGAGTGTTCCCCTCCATAAAGAGTGAGTGCTATCAAAGGTTAAGGAATTCATTTGTGAATTTGCACAGATATCTGTGTATATCTCTGTGTGTCAGTGTGTTCATTATGACAGCCTGTTTGTGTGTGTGTGTGTGCATACATTACATCCTGTTCCAACTCCCTCCACGCAGGCCCAGTGTTTGTGGTCCAGTGGTTGTTTGACGAGGCCCAGCTGACTGTCGACAACATCCATCTGACCGGTCAGCCCGTCCAGGAGGGGCAGTGGCGCTACATCCAGAACCTAGGCATCGAGCTGAGGAACACGCTCAAAGACGTCCCGTAAGCACCCGCAAACTTACAGTAACTCTTACATTAACTCTTACAGAAAACGTATAGTAACTCTTACATTAACTCTTACAACAAACGTACAGTAACTCTTACAGCAAACTTACAGTAACTCTTACAGCAAACTTACAGTTACTCTAACAGCAAACTTAAATTAATTGTAAAGATTGACAGGCAGACAGTGTGTCAAGGTTATGCTGCCAACTGTGTTCAACAAGTCTCATGTATTTGCATACATTTTCAGGGCCATGTTTGCTCCAGCTTGCCTCTCACATGAAGTCATCACAAGGAAGTAAGTATCGCTCTCTCTGTCATTCATCTTCCACCTGGGTCATGTTCAGTTGGGCACGTCGTACATAAAGGTTTTACAACAGAAAACTGAAATCTGTGTTGTTACTGGACACATTTATCACTCGGTTTTTCAACTTTCTTCACACCTGGGTTGCGTTCAGTAGGGCACACCATATACAAAAAACATTTTGGAACGGAAAATGGAAATCTGTGTTGTTATTGGACAAATCTAAATAGTACCTCCCCGTTTCACTGCTTTTTTCCCTACTGAACACCACTCTAATTAGAGAGAGAATATTCTGTGTCAGCTAGCTGCTTATTCTGTGTGACTCGCCGTGATCTAACAGTGCCCTCTTGTGGCTGGTCTGTTACAGTTACTGGATCGACGTTCAGGTCAAAGGCACCTCCCTGCCCCGAGCCCTGCACTGCTGGGACCGCAGTCTCCAAGACAACAGCCGGAACAACAAGGCCCCGCCCAAGGGCTGCCCCGTCCATTTGATTGACAGCTGCCCCTGGCCACACTGCAACCCCACCTGCCCCACCATCCGGGACCAGTTCACGGGCCAGGAGATGAACGTGATCCAGTTCCTCATGCACATGGGCTTTGATGTGCAGAAGATGGCCCAGCAGCAGGGCATGGACCCCAGCAAGCTACTGGGGATGCTGAGCAGCGGGAGCTAAGGGAACAGGAGTAAAGTCTTAGTACAGTAGGCTAGACCAGGGGGCTGGGCGCTATGGGGCCAAATCCTACATTTGAGATCCCCGAAAATAGGATAAAAAAACAAAAACTAAATTTAAATCTCCCATTGACATCAATGTTTGATGGGGGAGGGGTTTAGTTTATTTTGGACTTGTGAAGTAGCCTTTTAAGCAAAATATTTGAGTTTTATGTGGATCTCAAAGTAGGATTCGATGCCAAGTCTGGTCCCAACACCTGATACCTCCAGCTCTGCCCCCATGTTCCCTGTCCCCATCCCATTCACCTCAGCCCTAACCTCAGTCACACCTAAGGGCTACACTCAGTCTGACCCCTAACCCCTCACCTCCAACCCACCCGACAGCGCCTCTCACAACCCAGTACTGTTAAGAGTACTGGGGCAAACATGCCACACAGACAAGGCACACCTCTCTGCTACTCTCCTTAAATTATATTTTGGTTGTAAAAGAAAAAGAAAAATCACGAATGTAATCCAGTTTTAAGGATGCTCATTGTTTAGTTGTTGTTGGCTCTGTTCATTTTGTTTTTTACCTTAACTTTTATCCTGTGTTTATAGTTTTTAATTGTGTAATTGTTTTAAAAAGGCAGCAATGACTTAAGGAAGTTGTCTTTATAAAGGAGTCTATATAGAGTATATGAAGTAAACACAATGTTAATGTCTGTCTAACTGTGGGTCTGTGGGTCTTTTCTACCACAGTATTTCTTCCTCAAGTCAAGAACAGGCACACACACATTAAAGGTGTGGAAAGCACTGGACAAGTAGTCCTTCTCTAAGGAGGCAGTGGCTGCTTCCCAAATGCCACCTTATTCCATATATAGTGCACTACTTTTGACTATATAGGGACTAGGGTGCCATTTGGGACACAGCCAATAACATGGAAACAACTGTGGATTATTCAGTGAGGTGAAACATTCAGAACGTTACAGATATAAATGGAACTAATGGATCCAGCACGATTCCCAATAGGAACGTGCCAGATATCACATCTACTCTACACAACACATATCTATCTGAACGTTCTGTAACCCTTGCACCCTCCTGAACAGGGTCAGTATTTACCCCTGTCTCATCTCCAAGGCAGTGGAGGGATGGGAAAAGAGTGGAAAGAGAGAGAGGGATGAGACATGAAGAATGCAGAAACCCACAACATACTGTAACAACAACAACATCAGACTGTTCTTAATACGATGCTAGGCAACACAATCAACAAATCACTAGCTGGCTGACAGTTTGGATTGATACAGTATCATAAATGCATAACATCACGGCTGCAACCCGGAATTGACCAGTCAGATTGGGAGGCCGGAATTAACCTTTTTATAATGAGCTGCAGCAATACATGTTCAGGTTAATTTGAAAACCGCAGGAATTGTATGAGGACCAATGACAACTGTTTGACACAACCACCAATTGGAGGAACATCATAAAAGTTCAAACAAAGGTTTCTCATGGGGCTTCCAACTAAAAAAATTACGATTCAGATGCTTGTGGTAGAGAAGAGTCCATTATACAGGTAACCACATCCCTTACCTTGACACAGGTTGACATGGTTCCGATCCTGAGGTATTGAACACATAGAAATACAATTCTAGAGGAATTCTGTTTCTATGACTGACCATAATGGAGGATCTCATGTCCACACCGTGCCTGTCTAGAGTTCTACGGTGCTCTCCCTGATATGTGGTGCTCATGTGGGCCTCAGTGCAGCAGACCTGGGGTTCAAATAGAATTTGAAATCTTTGAAATACTTTTCTTGTGCTTGATTTAGCATGTCTGGAACAATGGAACCAATAGAATAGTCCCAAAAGTGCAAGCCACTCACCCTCCCAATCAGGCTCCTCCACGCTCCTCCACGCAGGCTCAATCAAACACTCAAAGTATCTGAAAAGGAAACGAAAACTGCTTGAACCCAGGTTCTGTAGGGCACTCACACAGGCCCACTAATAGTTAATCTATACAACAGTGCCAATGTATGTAGTCCTCTTTACCTCTCAACAGAATCATCAGCTATACTCCTTTTTAGTCAGCCATGACCGTTTCCATGCATACAGTACTGTATATCATCACATCAGAAGGTGAACTACACATTAGATGGGCTTTGTTGAACAACAAACTGTAGAATCAATGCAATTTCCATTCAAATGGAGAAGAATATCACATACTGGATAATTATTGTCTGAGTGTTTGTATAGGTTATTTGTAAGTGTTCACTATTGTAACTCCTTTTCTTTATATTTTTAATAGAAAATCACTTTTTAATATAATGATAATGTAATGTAATGCTCAATGTTAAGTCGTATAAACTATGTTTTAAATGACCTTTTTCAGCAGACACCAGAGAAGGAAAAGGTATTACTAATTGTAATTTTGTTCTGTAACATATTTTTTAACAGAAAAAACTCAAGCTACATTGGTAATTTACATATTTATTTTGTTATGTAAATCATATTTATAAGTGCTATTTTCACAGAGAAGTGATTCTTTGTCAATTGTAAATATATTGCAATTTTTTTTCTCTTTGTGTTGATTGCATGTCTTTGTATCAGACTTTAAAGAAAGGACACATTACAATTATTTCAAAATAAATGTTTTCTTGTTGTCTTTTTGATGTCTTCGCCATTCTGTCTCAATCTAGAGTACCAAAAGTGGAGTCCTTGACTCACACAGTGCACCCAACTATTTATTAGGGTAGAAACTGATTGTGTAGATAACAGCTATTTTGAAGAAGGTTTTACTTGCACTTAAACATTGCTCTAGCTGAGTGTCTGCTAAATGATTAAAATGTCGAAACTCAACTTTTATCTTAAACACACCACTAGTTACCTCTGTATTGAAATATTTTATTTACAAATTAATTTAAATTAGTCATCATTACTATACCTTGAATGTCACATGAAACTCAATCGACTCAAAAAAATGTTTTATATTAACCTGCTTCAATGTTTCCCAAAACTGGTAATTAGTTAAAGCCTCCATCTTACATATATAAAGCTCGAAGCTTCTAGCTTCTAGTTACTCATGTATAATCCTCCCTAGGACCTGTATATAACTGCTGCCCCAAAATGGTGTCTTGGGCTCTTTCCCCTGTCATTAAGTTGGGGATAAATGCCAGGCAGTCTCCGGTGAGAGAGAGAGCATGAGAGAGAGAGAGAGAGAGAGAGAGAGAGAGAGAGAGAGAGAGAGAAAGAGAGCGAGAGCGAGAGCGAGAGAGAGAAAGAGAAAGAGAGAGAGAGAGAGAGAGAGAGAGAGAGAGAGAGAGAGAGAAAGAGAGCGAGAGCGAGAGCGAGAGAAAGAGAAAGAGAAAGAGAAAGAGAAAGAGAAAGAGAAAGAGAAAGAGAAAGAGAGAGAGAGAGAAAACGAGAGAGAGAGAGAGAGAGAAAGAAAGAGAGAGTCTGACTCTAACTCAGTTACCTCTGTCCCAGAAACACGACTCCCCTTGCTGGTGCCTGACGGGGGTGGACCTGGATATGTGGGCTCCCACCCCATCCTCTGTGGAATATAGACCCCTTATTTATAGACCCGGCCTGGCCCATAACCCTGGGCTGGGCAGAGCAGTCAGTTACATAACTTTCCCTGGCAGCTTAAGGGGTACATACTGTCATATAGGAGAGAGAGGGTGTGTGTGTATGTGTGTGTGTGTGCGCACGCACGTGTGTGTGTGTTTGATAGAGAGAGAACACATCAGGAGAGAGAGGGTGAGAGGCAGTGCGAGAGAGAGAAAGAGAGCGGGAGGGAGAGAGAGAAATAGCGTGTGAGAGAGAGACAGAGAAGAAGAGAGGGAGAGAGAGGGACACGAGACAGAGATCAGACAGTGACAAGGACTTTTCCAGGGAGCTCAGGTCCTGGCAGTAGAAGGACTACAAGGACAGAGCTGATCGGTATTGGACCTTGACAAGCCTAGTACAGCTGCCGGCATGGGACATAGGACTACAACCAGAACAACAACCTAACCCCCCTGTTCAAAAGAAATGTACTGCGTTTGGATGAGACCTGTTGACGGATTGTTGGGCTCTGGATCTCTGGAGTGACGTGTTGGCAGTGAGGAACATGTTGCTCTTCCATAACGTGAAGGAGAAGTGAAATACAAGAGCTTTGTGACGCTGAGTTGGACTTTGCAGTTAAAACACAAGGGTAATCAGTGGTGTAAAGTACTTAAGTCAAAATACTTTAAAGTACTACTTTTACTCAAGTAGCATATTACTGGGTGACTTTCACTTTTACTTGAGTCATTTTCTATTAAGGTATCTTTACTTTTACTCAAGTATGACAGTTGGGTACTTTTTCCACCACTGAGGGTAATGTTATATCTTGCCACCGTCAATCTCGATCTGTGACTTGATTATTGATACAAGCATCTGTAAGAAACTAGACAGATCACTTGGGTCAACATTCAATTATTACCGCTAGAGAAACAAAGAAGTTACAAGATTTGATGTTATTTGAGAATCAAAAATGGCTAAACTGTTGATAGGGACAATTAAATCAGCACTGCTCAATGCCTTTTGAAAGTGACTTGTTTCGGCTCTGACTGCGTTGTAAGTTGAATACCACTGTGGCTGACTGTAACCCGATCTCCAACACACTGCTGTAATTACAAGGTGCACGCAGGGAAACATAGAGAGAGATTTGTAATTAGACCTGTCTATAAAAAGAGCCAGGCAAAGGGTGAGGTCCCCATACAGAGAGAGAGAGAAGGGGGGAGAGACAGGCCAAGGACACCCAGCTTGAAGGGAGAGAGGGAGGGTGCCTGGAGGCATAGGAAAGAGGCTGCCTGGAGCCATAGGGAGGAGGCTTCCTGGAGACATTGTACACAGACCCAGACAGCAAGAACACCCAGCCTGAAGGGAAGGAGGCTGCCTGGAGGCATAGGAAGGAGGCGGCCTGGAGGCATAGGAAGGAGGCTGCCTGGAGGCAAAGGAAGGAGGCTGCCTGGTGGCATAGGAAGGAGGCTGCCTGGAGGCATAGGAAGGAGGCTGCCTGGAGGCAAAGGAAGAAGGCTGCCTGGAGGCATAGGAAGGAGGCTGCCTAGAGGCAAAGGAAGGAGGCTGCCTGGAGGCATAGGAAGGAGGCTGCCTGGAGGCATAGGAAGGAGGCTGCCTGGAGGCAAAGGAAGGAGGCTGCCTGGAGGCAAAGGAAGGAGACTGCCTGGAGGCATAGGAAGGAGGCGGCCTGGAGGCATAGGAAGGAGGCTGCCTGGAGGCAAAGGAAGGAGGCTGCCTGGAGGCATAGGAAGGAGGCTGCCTGGAGGCATAGGAAGGAGGCTGCCTGGAGGCAAAGGAAGAAGGCTGCCTGGAGGCATAGGAAGGAGGCTGCCTAGAGGCAAAGGAAGGAGGCTGCCTGGAGGCATAGGAAGGAGGCTACCTGGCATTGTTGAGAATAAGTGACACCTAGACCCAGATAGCAAAGACACCTAACCTGAAGGAAAGGAAGCTGCCTGGAGGCATCACTTGGAAGAAGAAGAGAAGAGACTACCTGAACTACCTGAACAAGGCGGCGGTGCTGTCTCCTCTAGGAGCGGCCCGTATGCTCCAGCTCCTCCTGGGCTGCACCATCATAGCCCTGGTGGCCCACAGCGCCGGCTACAACCATGCCTATGGCATCTACTGCATGTTTGTGTGGTGCTTCTGCTTCGCCATGACCCTGCTGGTGTTCACCATGGATGTGACACGCCTCCCCTGCTGCATGCCCATCTCCTGGGACAACCTCACCGTGGCGTTCGCCATGCTCGCCACACTCATGTATGTCACCGCCTCCGTCGTCTACCCCGTCTACTTCCTGCGCTCCCAGTGCTCCAAGTCCGACGGGGGCTGTGAGGTGCGCAACTACCGTATCGCTGTCACCGTGTGCTCCAGTTTCTGCTGCTTCGCCTACGCGGCTGAGGTGTTCCTGACCCGGGCCAAACCGGGCCATGTGGTGGGCTACATGGCCACCATGTCAGGCCTGCTCAAGGTGGTCCAGGCCTTTGTGGCCTGCATAATATTTGGGGCCCTGGCCAACGGCAGCGAGTACAACCGCCACATCCCCACTCATTACTGCGTGGTGGTCTATAGCCTGTGCTTCTCCATCACCGTGGTCGTGATCGCTGTGACTGTGTCGGGAAAAGCCTCGGCTCTGCCCCTGCGTTTCCCCTTCGACCGCTTCGTGATCATCTACACCTTCCTGGCGACACTGCTGTACATGAGTGCCGCCCTGGTGTGGCCCATCTTCAGCTTCGACAGGAAGTATGGCACGCCAGGTCGCCCTGACGGCTGTCCCTGGGAGAACTGTCCCTGGGACAGCAAGCTGGTGGTGGCGGTGTTCACCCATGTCAACATGGTGCTGTACTTCAGTGACCTAATCTACTCCCAGAGGATCCGCTTCGTCTCCCACACTGCTGCCTGAGGACCCCTCCACCCTCCTCACTCCACTCTCCTGCCTGAGGACCCCTTCACCCTCCTCACTCCACTCTGCTGCCTGAGGACCCCTCCACCTTCCTCACTCCACTCTGCTGCCTGAAGACCCCTCCACCCTCCTCACTACTGGGGACACCTCTACCCTCCTCACTCCTGGGGTGAATCTCAAACTTTTTTTCCTCTGTTCCTCATGGGACACGACGTCTTCTCTCTTCGCCTGCATATCAAAACGTACGAGGTAAGGGAGGAGAGCATTGGGGAAGACAAGAGGAGATACGATCCTTGAATGGACTTATGCCTCGCTCTGATGTTGTGAGAAGGAGGCGTGGAGAGGGGAGACGAGGAATAGAGGGAAAGATGCACCCCTGGCCCTCAGCGACAGACAGAGACCACACTGGAAATGACACACAGCATCTCCACTCAAGTGACTCTGAATGCCCCATGCCTACTACAGATTACAGATTTCCTCAATGATGTCATGCCTTTGTGCCTTTGTTATGTCTTTCTTAACATCAGTGTTGTGTCTTAACATCAGTGTTGTGTCTTAACATCAGTGCTGTGCCTTTCTTAACATCAGTGTTGTGTCTTTCTTAACATCAGTGTTATGTCTTTCTTAACATCAGTGTTGTGTCTTTCTTAACATCAGTGTTGTGTCTTTCTTAACATCAGTGTTGTGTCTTTCTTAACATCAGTGTTGTGTCTTAACATCAGTGCTGTGCCTTTCTTAACATCAGTGTTGTGTCTTTCTTAACATTAGTGTTATGTCTTTCTTAACATCAGTGTTGTGTCTTTCTTAACATCTGTGCTGTGCCTTTCTTAACATCAGTGTTGTGTCTTTCTTAACATCAGTGTTATGTCTTTCTTAACATCAGTGTTTTGTCTTTCTTAACATCAGTGTTTTGTCTTTCTTAACATCAGTGTTGTGTCTTTCTTAACATCAGTGTTGTGTCTTTCTTAACATCAGTGTTATGTCTTTCTTAACATCAGTGTTGTGTGTTTCTTAACATCAGTGTTGTGTCTTAACATCAGTGTTGTGTCTTTCTTAACATCAGTGTTGTGTCTTAACATCAGTGCTGTGCCTTTCTTAACATCAGTGTTGTGTCTTTCTTAACATCAGTGTTGTGTCTTTCTTAACATTAGTGTTATGTCTTTCTTAACATCAGTGTTGTGTCTTTCTTAACATCAGTGCTGTGCCGTTCTTAACATCAGTGTTGTGTCTTTCTTAACATCAGTGTTATGTCTTTCTTAACATCAGTGTTGTGTCTTTCTTAACATCAGTGTTTTGTCTTTCTTAACATCAGTGTTGTGTCTTTCTTAACATCAGTGTTGTGTCTTTCTTAACATTAGTGTTATGTCTTAACATCAGTGCTGTGCTTTTCTTAACATCAGTGTTGTGTCTTTCTTAACATTAGTGTTATGTCTTTCTTAACATCAGTATTTTGTCTTTCTTAACATCAGTGTTATGTCTTTCTTAACATCAGTGTTATGCCTTTCTTAACATCAGTGCTGTGCCTTTCTTAACATCAGTGTTTTGTCTTTCTTAACATCCGTGCTGTGCCTTTCTTAACATCCGTGTTATGTCTTAACATTATTATCAGTATTACCAGTATTATAATCTCTAAGAGAAACCCGAGACATGGGCCAGTACTGTTGTAGGCACTCTGTCTTATGGGGCAGTACATTCGTTTAATTCAGAGCTTTGAAGATGTCCGGCGACATTTTCGTAGTGCAAAAGCGATGTGCTAAATGCAAAGAAAATCTGTAAACCTCATAATCTGGCAGTGTGATTTAAACTAAAACTTTTCCTCTACAATCTGCGTTATAAAGACGCTATTATTTATAAGGTTTAGTAAACTGAGCAATCTGTGTGTGTGTGTGTGTGTGTGTGTGTGGGGGGGGGGGTTATGGAATTGACTGCATAGGCACAGCTACCACTTTTTGATATGTGATGTCTGCACTGCAAATCATCCCTGAACACTGTGTATTGTAATGAAAACCATGCGAGGTACTCAATGTTTTATACCGATAGAAAAGTTCTGAAACTTGTGAATATTCAAAATGTCATTAAAATGAACTAATTGTTTAGTCTGTGCGCCTGTTGATCTCTCTCCCCATTCGCTCTCCCTTTATGAACAGCAGGCTACAGACTAGTTAGTAATAGGCATAAACATTACTGATGCATCTCAGTCAATCAGATATATTAGGTTTTGTTTCTGCTACAAGATGCTGCTCTGTCAGAGGATCTGTGATCTGTCATTTGAATAGCATTATAGCCTGCATGTATGGACTGGTTTCCTGGACTAAAAAGCACTTTAAATTGAGAACGAACTAGTATTAATGGGGGCCAGGAAACCATGATGGCTCTGTTCAAACTGTCCTCAACTGTCCTCATCTGACACCCAAAACAAAACTGGTACTAGGCTACGGTTGAATTATACAACAGGTGGGTCTAATCCTGAATGCTGATTGGTTAAAACCGCATTCCAGCAGTTGTCTATTCCACAAATTACCACCTGCTAAATCTATGACGTTAAAATGCCTATTTACTATAAGTGAAAACACCATCTCAAGATTACAATTCCCTAATGTATCAGGGAATTATAATAGGCCTCTCTGCCTTGCAAATACCTTGATTGTACATGTTATCACTACCAAATCGATGTGTTAGGGCAGTAAATAAAATACAGCGCTTTTATACTGTAACATTTATAATGAACGCTCTTCCGGATTCAGCGACTAGAAGTGCATGATCTGGAATGTAACCTAGAGATTTCTTGTCCACGCCCACTCTACTGCAAGGCTGATGCAACTGGTTGTACACAGCTTACAGAGCCCACCCATAACTGCACATGAAATCCATGCTGCCACCGTCATTGGTTAAACGTTTAGCGACTCTCTCATTCTATTGGTGACTTTGTATGACATTATCACAGTCTGTTTTTGGCGTGGAAACCACGTTAAAACTGCTACTCTGTTGAATTATATGTTTGGAGGCAACATTGGAAAAGGAAACATTTGATACATTCGAAGCAACATCCGTAAGTTTGATTCGTCTGTCAAATATTTAGGCTACTTCGTTGCAGGCAGCTGTCGCCAGTGCTTCAACTGTGTCATAACTGCATGTGTTGTGATTCAATTTTTTATCAGGAAGTACTGTTTACTATAAATGCTACATATTCTTTGTAGTTTACACAAGGCAGGTAATGTGAATTGCATATGCCTGTGTGTCTCTTGATATTACCAGTGGCCTTTACCTTCACAGTAACAACAGAAACTTCAGAATGAGCGTGGGGTTCATCGGAGCGGGTCAATTGGCCCATGCCTTGGTGAAAGGATTCAGTGCTGCAGGTAACCAGCTGAGCATTGCTTTGAGTAGCTGGCAGATCCGACCCGTTTGCTTAGAGCTGCACTAGGGTCGTTCAGCATTACTGTGTATATTAAGACGCCGCAGAGCTGGAGCGAGATATCGGCCGGAAAACATACCTCAATGCAGAAACGCATTTTTACTCCGAATTGGCTCATTATCCCAACACTTACACTGAGAAGATTGAAGGACTGCTAAAAAACTAGCAGTCGTTCAATGTTCTCTGTGTAACCGTTGGGATAACAGGACAATTCGGAGTACAGCGCATTTCTCATCCCTGGATTGAGGTATGTTTCAGAGCCATATCTCCGCAGTGTCTTAATATACACAGGAATGCTGTCCGACCCTAGTGCAGCTGTAAGCAAGCGGGTAGGATCTGCAGGCTATGCTTTGAGGAGCATGAGCCATTCTATATTGCCATATGAAGTTTGAACCTCCCTATTAATGTATTGTATATTTACGTGCTTTAAATGTATTCTGTGTTAACTCCTTCAGTACCCTGCTGAAAGAAACAGCATAGACCAGCATAAATGTTTAGCTGGTCTGATGCTGGTCAAGCTGGTCTGACCAGCATGGTATAGCTAGTTTTGCTGGTTGATCAGCATGGTCTGGCTGGCTAAGCTGATCGGACCAGCATAGTCTAGCTGGTTATGCTGGTTTACCAGCATGGTCTAAATGTTTTTGCTGGTGACCAGCCTTCGCTGTGTTTCATGCTGGTCCAGCATGGTCTTGGTCAAGCTGATCTGACCACACCAATCCAAGGATATTCTAGTTTTTATTTCTATTCATTTTTATTTCTTTTGAAATTCTGATTAGTTTGTTTGTTTTCAGGCCTGATTTGCTCGTTTTTATTTAGTTTTAGTTGTACACAAATATTTATATTTAGTTTTTATATTATACCAGTGTCCAGAACAGAGAAGGCTGGTCACCAGCAAAAGCACAGAGAAGGCTGGTCACCAGCAAAAGCACAGAGAAGGCTGGTCACCAGCAAAAGCACAGAGAAGGCTGGTCACCAGCAAAAGCACAGAGAAGGCTGGTCACCAGCAAAAGCACAGAGAAGGCTGGTCACCAGCAACAACCCAACAAAGGCTGGTCACCAGCAACAACCCAACAAAGGCTGGTCACCAGCAACAACCCAACATAGGCTGGTCACCAGCAACAACCCAACAAAGGCTGGTCACCAGCAAAACTAGCACTAGTCACCAGCCTATGCTGGTCTATGCTGGTTTTTTTAAGCAGGGTATTCTGCTTGATTTTCCACTCTCCCATCCCTGCAGGTGTCATTGCCACCCAGAGGATCACTGCCAGCTCCCCAGACACAGATCTTCCCACAGTGTCAGGACTGCGGGTGAGTAGAATGGATCAGTCATTGGGGTGCGCTGGATGTTTGTGGGAATAAGCTTCCTCAGTTACAGCATATCTATAACCATCTCCCATCGGCTACACTCAAATGAAATCCCACACACACGAGACAGACGGGGGGGGGGGGGGGGAGAGATCAATTTGTTAATTTTGGCTGTGCTCGTCTACGCAGAAAATGGGTGTCAATCTCACAACCAGCAACAAGGAGGTGGTGAACAAGAGTGACGTCCTGTTCCTGGCTGTCAAACCACACATCATCCCCTTCGTGTTGGATGAGATTGGACCGGACATCGAGGACCGCCACCTCATCGTGTCCTGTGCAGCGGGCGTCACCATCAGCTCCATTGAGAAGGTCAGTTTGAAGTCCAATGAAAGTCGACTTTAGCTAGAGCTTTCTCTCTCTACTGATTTACAGATCTTTAGAAAAACGTTTTGCAATAGAAAACGTAAGAGTGACAAAAATACAAAATCAGGATAGATTCATACTGTGAAATCCAATTAAAGTTGACTTTAGCTAGTGCTTTCTCTCTCGCTTTCTCTCTTTCCTCAGTACTGAACTACGGATCTGGGTCGTGTTCATTAGCACACAGAACAGAATGTTTTGCAGTATGTTTATTTCTTATTGGACAAGTACAATCTTATGATTGGTGCCTATTGAACAAGCCCCTGATATGATTGGATAGGTGAAAGCATTCTGGTGGAATCCTGCTTTGAAATCAGTTGTTCCATCCTGTCAGATCAATGAAGCTACAGCCCTCTGATATAGCCTAACCCGATACTTCCAGTTCTGGTCACAGACTGACTGACTTCCCCTCTCCCTGGGAGAATCTAAATAGCATTTTCTTGATTCCTCTCCTCCTCAACCCATTGGATGAGGTCAGAAGTCCCTCTCCTCTCCCTGGGAGAATCTCAATTGAAGGAGGCGAGAGGACGCAAGAAATCAATGAAATGCATTGAGATTCTCTCCCTGCCCCCTCAGTCACTACCGTGCTCTGGTCTCACATAGCCCTAGGGCATAGCAACTTAAGGCTGCTACAACATGAATCACCATTCCATTCTGTTCCCGCTGAAAATACCTCAGCCCTCTGTTGTGATACTGGGATAGGTGCCACACACTGCAATCTGATGAACAGTCATGCTCTCTCACAAGAGACTGACAAATAGAGAATCAGGATAGATTCATACTGTGCTATTTGAGATAACCAGACCACAAAACGGCAAAATCAAGCTTTTTGTCATGAAAGAATGGTCTTGGGTCGAAACATTGCGCAATAAAACTTGGGAAGCATTCAACTGTTTGTGTGGGTATCTTATCTTTCTATATTGTCTTTTAATTTTGTACCCTGCACCTGCAAGTTACTGGATGTCCCTAATACACTACTTCTAAACTAAAACCTACCTTCAATACCGTAGTTCCGTAGCTCAGTTGTATTTGTCGATAACTTAACCCTTGTCTTAGTGACATTTACATTACATTACATTTCAGTCCATTAGCAGACACTCTTATCCAGAGCAGCTTCCAGTCAGTGTGCATTTAACAGGTGATAGGTAAAAACAACTATGAGCTGTAATTCTACAGTAGCAAGTTGACTTTGAAAAGATCAAAGAAGAGACTAGACTTCTGGTGGAAGGAAAGGTTTTTTTAATGCAGAGCTTTGGGTTACAAGTGGTCATGTGAAAAAGCCTAGGCCAATAGCAAGGTGGCTAAAAATGCATGGCACAAAAGACACAAAGGCAAATGATTATTCTGAGTGTCGACATTATATAGTCATTTTGAATGATGTGTACATGCATCGTTACAGACGTTGGTTGATATGAACCTGATACAACTTTAAATTGAACAATGGTAACAGTGAGATATCTGCTACTTTGGGTACATAGAGTGAAATTCAGCAGTTTGAGACCGTTCAAGGTTGGATTGTCACAAGCTGAGGCCTCTTGAGAGTTCTGTATCCTGTGTGATCTGGGGCACAGAGAATGATGGAAAACACTTCTACCTTTAGAACATTTTTGTTGTGGGAGTAATTAGGCAGGTAATTCATGATATGATTGTAAGCAAAGATGTGTGAGGATATATCTGGATCATCACACCACCACATATCACAGTCATTGTAAGTAAAAAAAACATATTCAAAAAGGAGGTTTCACTGCAAAGACCGTTTTTCATGTTTCTATCAAGTAATACCTCTGAAATCTGTCTTCTCCCCTTGACCATTGCAGAAGCTGCTCCAGTACCGCCCGTTCCCCAAGGTGATGCGATGTATGACCAACACCCCGGTGGTGGTTCGGGAGGGAGCCACGGTCTACGCCACGGGTACCCATGCCAAGCTGGAGGACGGGAGGCTGCTGGAGCAGCTGATGGCCAGCGTGGGCTACTGCACGGAGGTGGAGGAGGACCTCATCGATGCCGTCACCGGACTCAGTGGCAGTGGACCCGCCTATGTGAGTGGTTATGTTGTAGTTTGTATTTTACATTGACTATCACAAAAGCTCTGATGAAGGCCAAGAGGCCGACATGTAAGCTTGAATAAACTGTGATACAGTACGAGCAGGAGTAGTGTGCAGGTTTCTCTTTTATTTTAAGATACCACATTATCCCCACGCACCTGCAACAAGATAACTCTGATGTGCTTTTTTGAATTGTGCTTTGCATGTCTGCCACTGTTACTGAGGTGGTTCAGTAAACCCCGCTTGTGGGATGACTGACCTCTCCTGACACCAGAAGACTAGCTCCCCGAGCTAATGCCTAGGCTAGCCCAGTGGGCTAGAACCATACCTTTGGGTTGTAAAACTCTTTTAGCTAATTATTTTCTTGATCGACCATGGAAATAATGGGTTATAAGAACTGGACCTTGCCTAGCCGCTAGGAGAAGGCCTACTATGCCTGCTTAAACAACTGGCTGGCTAGTGATTTCTGTTAACTCTTTTCTCTATTGTATAATCCCCAGAGCCCATTTGAACTATGTGTTTATACATGTGATGAGTGTGCATATGATCAGTGCGTGTTTGTCTTTGTTTGTCTACCTATAGGCATTTACAGCTGTGGAAGCGCTTGCTGACGGTGGGGTGAAAATGGGTCTGCCCAGGAGACTGGCTATACGGCTTGGAGCACAGGCCCTGCTGGTGAGAACATCATCTACATGCATTATTTATGAACATCTAGCCCTGGAATTAGTCTTGGTACCAATCTCTGTAACATTACACTCATTGTACTCTGTGTCATATGCCAAAGAGACTGGTCTTTCTTCAAATATGAACATTCTATCATTAATGAGCTTGAGGAGATCAGAGGATTTTATCCTGATTCGATAACTCCCACAGCTATCGTTGGCAAATGACACAGAGTACAATGAGGGGAATGTAAACGCTGAACAGAGACTAGCAACCAGGCAAGCCCTGAATCTGTCAGAAATGTCTTTTGAGGACTGCTTGTGACTGTTGTTTTTATTATACAACAGATTTTGATCCGGAAACATTTTTAAAGAAATCTATTGTATCTGAGAAAAAACATGGAGAATTCTTCTCTTGAGTTTGACAATATAACCATGAGCCATGCAAACGTTTGCTTGACTGTAGAGTGTACCGAATTGAAGCAACCTGGGTATACCTAGCGACCTCGTCAATGGGTTCAGATCTCTAGGTGTTACGGTTAAGATGTATTACTGTCGCTCACAGGGACCCGGGTTCCAGTTCCCGGTTGAGGCTACCCCCAAATTCACCACAGTAGGTTTATGTCTCTATTTTGTCTTTCCCATAGGGAGCAGCCAAAATGCTGTTGGACTCGGAGCAGCACCCTGGCCAGCTGAAGGACAACGTTTGCTCCCCAGGGGGCGCCACCATTCACGCCCTGCATGTCATGGAGAGTGGGGGCTTCCGCGCCCTGCTCATCAACGCTGTAGAGGCCTCCTGCATCAGGACCAGGTAGGCTGGGTGCCGCTTTACAGAGGGACATTTTCCCAGACCCAGATCAAGCCTAATCCTGGACTAAAAAGTACTTCCAATGGAAAATCTCCATAGAAAATGCTTTTTAGTCAAGGACTAGGCTCAATCTGTGTCCTGGAAATCAAACCGGAATGTGCAGCTAGAAATCCCCTATTGTGAACAATAAAGAAGTATGTCAAAGGTATGTGTTACATTTCTCCTGCAACATTCAATATGTTGGATCTTTGTGGATAAGCCCTGGCCGGTGGTATGGTGAGGACAGTAGGTCTTTAACAAAATGTGGCTTTTCGATATAACCACATAATACTGATGTAGCACTGATGTCAGTTAGGCTATGGGCCGGTTTCCCGAACCCAGATTCAGCCAGCCTACCAGCGCTTTCATTGGAGATTCTCCATTGAGTGTGCTTTTAGTCCAGGACTGGTCTAAATCTGGGTTCAGGAAACCAGACCTATATGTCTTGTGTAAAAGTAATGCCTGTGCCATAGTCCTCTGTTGTATGGCTGGATGCTATTGTTTAGACAGCAGAGGGTGCTAGATGCATATGTCTGAACTTTTGTAACTAACGGATAGTAGACACACACCATAAGCAAAGTCCCATCTCTTTTAAATAATGTGGCTCAAACGGGAGTGTCTGTGTGTGAATATTTTACTTGAGGTCTCTGGATAACAGCCTCTGTTAAAATACTTGTTTCTTTCAATCAGGGAACTCCAGTTCTTGGCTGACCAGGAGAAGATCTCCCCTGCGGCCATCAAGAAGACTACACTGGACAAGGTTCTGCAGCAGCCAGGGGTGGGAACAGGGGTGGGCGTCCGGACGGGATCTGGGATCAGCCTGTTCAACAGCAGCAACCCCAGGCACAAGAAGTGATTGAACTGAGTGGCTCTGATCACAGAACGGGTGTATTCATATTAGTGCACTGCACACCATAGCAAAACATTTTGTAACTGCAAACATTTCGCAACGAAAACGAGTTTCATATTGGACAAGTTCAGGTAGTTCCTCCCTGTTTCGGTCCGTTTGCATCCTAGTGAACATGCCCCAGATGGAGAGATCAATGAGACCCTCAAAAGAATGAAACACTACTGAACGTAGTATTTCGACCCTTCAAAAATTGTTATTATCGTTATAGCATGCCAGCTGAGAGGAGGAAGATGAGCATACATGGCAGCTTCATAAACGTTTAAAGGATAAACTTAGAGCAGCAATAGAGGATGTAGGGTGAAGAGACACTTCTCCTGGTCTCCGTTCCTCCCATATTCACTGACTATAAACATCTGGACAGGTGAAAGCAAGTTCCTAATAGGCATTATGGCTTTCACCTGTCCAGTGTTTTCATATCAGTGCAGATGAAGGAGAAGAGAGGTAGGAGGAGACCGGGGAAGAAGACGCCACTAGACAGTTAAGATGGACCCACATGGTGATGAGCAACAGGTCACAATTCCTTTACATTTCAGTCGTTTAGCAGACGCTCTTATCTTATCCAGAGCGACTTACAGGAGCAATTATGGTCAAGTGCCTTGCTCAAGGGCACACTGATTTTTCACCTAGTCGGTTCGGGGATTCCAACCAACGATCTTTCGGTTACGGTCCGAACGTTCTTCACCACTAGGCTACCTGCCGTCCACTCCCTTTCAGTAAACGGTGTAGAAACAGAGGCGGATGTGGAGTTGCACGTCTTATAAATGTGCTTAGCTATCTATATCTTCTGTTTCATAGAATGTGTGCCTATATGTACCGCTAGACAGATTAGTAGATCATACATTTACAGTCTTACTGGAAGTATTTTGGTCTGTCTTTAAACATCAAAGGTCCCTGTTTTCTGTTGTTTATCTCTTCATTTTCTGGCTATTTTCTTTGCTTGATTGAGAGATTATATTACAGCTTTAGCATGTTAATAGTTTTTACCTGACTCGGTGGAAAGTACTTCGTTTTTCAGTTTGTAGAAGCAGCAACACCGTGTTTAGACACACACACACACACACACACACACAAAAAAATGGGAATTCTATTGAACCTTTCTTTATCCAGGTTTGTCTTGTTGAGATGTATATTTTTAAAAGAGACTTGTTCAAGAAGGCAGCAGTCATTAATGTTACTAAAGTTACACACATATATATATATATATATATATACATACTGAACAAAAATATAAATGCAACATGCAACAATTTCAAAGATTTTACTGAGTTGCAGTTCATGAGGAAATCAGTAAATTGAAATAAATTCATTAGGCCCTAATCTATGGATTTCACATGACTGGGAATACAGATATGCATCTGTTGGTCACAGCTACCTTTAAAAAAATGGGACTCACAATGGGCCTCAGGATCTCGTCATGGTATTTTTGTACTTTGAAATTGCCATCGATAAAATGTAATTGTGTTCGTTGTCTGTAGCTTATGCCTGTCCATACCATAACCCCACCGCCACCATGGGGTACTCTGTTCACGTCAGCAAACCGCTCGCCCACACAACGCCATACACATGGTCTGTTGTTGTGAGGCGGGTTGGATGTACTGCCAAATTCTCTAAAACGACGGTAGAGGAAAATAACATTCAATTCTCTGGCAACAGCTCTGGTGGACATTCCTGCAGTCAGCATACCAATTGCAAGCTCCCTCAACTTGAGACATCTGTGGCATTGTATTGTATGACAAAACCGTACATTTTAGAGTGGTCTTTTATTGTCCCCAGCACAAGGTGCAGCTGTGTAATGATCATGCTGTTTAATCAGCTTCTTGATATGCCACACTTATGGAGGGATTATCTTGGCAAAGGAGAAATGCTCACTAACAGGGATGTAAACACATTTCTGGGATCTTTTATTTCAGCTCATAAAACATGGGACTAAAACTTGACATGTTGCGTTTATATTTTTGTTCAGTGTAGATACATATTTGACTGGCATATTATTGTGTTACAAGGTGGAAGTGGTACTATTAGGCCTATACAAAATGGAATACATGAATATGCTGAACGTGTAAGAGTTTATAGATTTTTGGAACAAAATGTGTAAAGTCTAGATCTGTTTTATTAAGCAAAGAAAGCATTTGTAAACATTTCCAAAGCTTTTATGATTTATTAAATATTTGAACAGATATTGTCTGGTCTTTTTTTCTGCAGCCTGTATCCATATACAGTGGGGGAAAAAAGTATTTAGTCAGCCACCAATTGTGCAAGTTCTCCCACTTAAAAAGATGAGAGAGGCCTGTAATTTTCATCATAGGTACACGTCAACTATGACACAAAATGAGAGAGAAAAAAATCCAGAAAATCACATTGTAGGATTTTTAATGAATTTATTTGCAAAATATGGTGGAAAATAAGTATTTGGTCAATAACAAAAGTTTCTCAATACTTTGTTATATACCCTTTGTTGGCAATGACACAGGTCAAAAGTTTTCTGTAAGTCTTCACAAGGTTTTCACACACTGTTGCTGGTATTTTGGCCCATTCCTCCATGCAGATCTCCTCTAGAGCAGTGATGTTTTGGGGCTACACAGACTTTCAACTCCCTCCAAAGATTTTCTATGGGGTTGAGATCTGGAGACTGGCTAGGCCACTCCAGGACCTTGAAATGCTTCTTACGAAGCCACTCCTTCGTTGCCCGGGCGGTGTGTTTGGGATCATTGTCATGCTGAAAGACCCAGCCACGTTTCATCTTCAATGCCCTTGCTGATGGAAGGAGGTTTTCACTCAAAATCTCACGATACATGGCCCCATTCATTCTTTCCTTTACACGGATCAGTCGTCCTGAAAAACAGCCCCAAAGCATGATGTTTCCACCCCCATGCTTCACAGTAGGTATGGTGTTCTTTGGATGCAACTCAGCATTCTTTGTCCTCCAAACACGACGAGTTGAGTTTTTACCAAAAAGTTCTATTTTGGTTTCATCTGACCATATGACATTCTCCCAATCCTCTTCTGGATCATCCAAATGCACTCTAGCAAACTTCAGACGGGCCTGGACATGTACTGGCTTAAGCAGGGGGACACGTCTGGCACTGCAGGATTTGAGTCCCTGGCGGCGTAGTGTGTTACTGATGGTAGGCTTTGTTACTTTGGTCCCAGCTCTCTGCAGGTCATTCACTAGGTCCCCCCCGTGTGGTTCTGGGATTTTTGCTCACCGTTCTTGTGATCATTTTGACCCCACGGGGTGAGATCTTGCGTGGAGCCCCAGATCGAGGGAGATTATCAGTGGTCTTGTATGTCTTCCATTTCCTAATAATTGCTCCCACAGTTGATTTCTTCAAACCAAGCTGCTTACCTATTGCAGATTCAGTCTTCCCAGCCTGGTGCAGGTCTACAATTTTGTTTCTGGTGTCCTTTGACAGCTCTTTGGTCTTGGCCATAGTGGAGTTTGGAGTGTGACTGTTTGAGGTTGTGGACAGGTGTCTTTTATACTGATAAGTCATTACCATCATGGTACATATTTTTGAGGCAAAGGTGTGTTAAATTACAATTGATATTGATGACTTTTCCCATATGTGAACCTTATATGCTTGTTCTTAAGATAATTCCTAAAATAATGTAAAATATTAAGATTTTGATGTGATAAATAATTGTTTCTGAGTATCATCAAGGCATATATGGACATTTGGGGAAACCGATACAAATCTTTATATTCTTAAATAGTATGGTCTCAGCCACTATTAAATCTTGTTTCCAGACAGAGTGAATAAAAATTCAGATAGATAAAAAACAGTTTCAAGAGGTTTTGTTTTCAAAAACATTTAACATCCAAAAGTGCCCGTATTTGCAAAATCAAGCATATGCGTTACAACAAGCAATTTTTTCCTTTTTGTTTTTACAGATGCGTTGCAACATCATGCAAAAGACAGCATACATTAAAAATATGCCTTTCAGTGTCTTGTGTTGATTCTTCATGAATGAACCCACGTGACCAAACATGACGTCTGGCTCCGCGATACAAGGGAATTTAGAGAAAGGAATCAACAAGGAGAGCACTAGCAGGATTTAAAACGCATACTTGTCTGTCAGTCACAATTGTAGCAGCTAAATTCAAGTTAGCCTTTTTTTATTATTTTTTATTACACAAAAGAGGACGTTAAGAACTATAGAAAAACATCTTCAAGTTTGGTGAGTAGAAAAACGAAACGGAAACGTGTTACGCTGAGTGTGCGTACATTCCATTACCTCCGATATGCTGAACTTTGCTTGCTCAATGCGTGTCCTCTCCGCTGTCGCCAGCTAGCCAGCCTGTAAGCTAATTTCTCAGGTTTCCAGCAGCCGGCTGAGCGCCGCTCACTATCAGGTAATTTATTCTAGGATACGTCTCAACTCTTGTTAGCCTCTGTGTGTGAATGACGACATGGTTTGTAATTAGACGAGCATATTACATTATTATAATTTTTTTAATCCTAGAATTTGGCCCCCCAAAAAAGCGTAATTTGTAATTCCTAGCTAGCTGAGTATGGGGATTCCCTTGCTTGTTCAGCAGGCGGGAGTCTAGCCTGCTACACAGATACTGGTAACTAGTCACGCGCAAGCAGTGGTGTAGTGTAGTAGTGACAGCTTGGGGTTTGTCGAGAAATTGTGTAACCAGATATAGGTGGCTTCTGCTAAATGGATAGCCTGCAATCCAACTGCTTATTTAGCTTCTTGTAGTTTGTCAACTCATGCACATACTGTAACTACGTCTCGAGCTGTTCAAACCTGCTGCTTCATTATATCCGTGCGAGCGTGCCTTGCAGAGCTGAGGGAAGCGCGAGCTGAAGCAACGGTTGTCGGAGCGCGATCAGGTTGGTGGCTTAATTTGTGACAAGGCAGCATGATAAAATAAGGACTCATCAGTATTTTGTGATACAATA